GACTCATACCAAGGGTCACCCAACCCACACGAAATTTACAGACTTCTACTGAGGGTTCCACGTACACCCATACACTTTAAGGAATCGGGCCTTGCACCCGAAGAATCTTCTAGTCCTTCTTGCTAACCCCAACCCTTATCACCAAGTAACCCATGAGACTCGGTCATGTCTTCGACCAAGCTTACTCGAGCCCCCTTGTCATCCATCGAGAATGGTGTTGACAAATAACCATGCATACACGCCCATACATGTGGTGTCTCCGTGCATATACAAATACAATGCACCATTGCTATTTCAATGTCATGCCTCACATGTGATGGTTGCCACATGTATACATATCACATGCATATAAACACTAATTCCATTACCATGTCAGTATATCAAGGAGCCTATATTAACATTTCATATCCAACCATAATTTTCAAGTATGTTACCACATAACATATGTCAATAACTCACTTAATTTTACAAGGCATAAAATAAACACATAGCATATCCACATAATACCCATTTGTCATAGAATTACAGAAGTAATTGCAACATACCAATTCCAATCTAGGAATTTTACTTAAATTAGGTCAAATTCACATACCCAATTCACCAATCACCCAATTTCATCCATTTCACAACCATAGACAAGTGATATGAATCTCTATCATTCTACTCATCACATATAACACCCTAGATTATAAAATAAATCGAAGTAGAGAGGTATCCTACCTCTTGAAGCGTAAGGAACAACCGTAGGAAGTCCCAAGAATCCACTTCTTGCTTAATTTTCAAACTTCCAAAAATTATGTACCTTGAACTTTGGTAAAATTTGTCGTTTTTGGTATGGTCGCGTAGCTCCTGCGTGAGGAGTAACTTTAATTCTTGGCCGTGTGGATTTGAGCTCCGTAGCTTCCTAGATCGTAGAGAGAAGTGAAAAAGCTTTTCTTTTTCCTTCTTCTCTTTTCTATCAGCTAACCGGCTAATCAAATGGGGGTGAAATCTGATTTTTGTCCCCTATTTATAGTTTGTAAACTCTTGGCCTACAACGCGCTTCACGACCCTCATTTTTTCTGATTCATTTTTGTCCCGATATGATTAAATTTCATCATGGTTCAAGTTCAAATTTTTTTTTATTTTAATTTGCTTGAAATTATTTTTCAACTTTCGAAATTTTATTAAAAATTTTATTTTTGAATCATCCGAGACTCGACTGCCTCGTAAAATATAAAAAATCTGACTATCTAAAAATTTGATGAAATTTGACAGGGTAACTATATTTCGCGAGACGAATCCAACAGTGAGGTTCGTTTCTTCATCCGAGATCTAGAAAAATTCAGGCTTTCAACCCGTACTATAGCGACAATTTATCGTTTTGTCCTTTTTATAAAAAGTTTAAATTTACCGAATTTTACAAAATGAAGTGTGACAACTCATTAATGAGGGTCATGTTGGTATGACAAGCCATTAATGATTGTCTAGTCCTCGAAGAACGTGGAAAAAATCCTCATTATAAGGCATTAATGGCTACCTGACTGACGGGAAGTCCTTGGGGGTTCCTGATGGGATCTAGTAACTTCTCATAATGGCTTGGTTGTAGGATTTGATGTAGAGCATTCAATAGGTGGGGAGTGTGCCATAAATGCTCGACATATTTCTGAGAATAGATCCAAACATCCGAGCACTCAGTATTAATGAGGTATGACAATAACACTCGTTATGCTAGATCGCAAGCCTAGGCTTTTAAATTCTAGGATGGGACTCTAGATAAGAGAGGCATAATTACGAATTAAGTTATAAATACCCCTTTGAAATTTGAACTGAGGTACGCAATTCATAATATACCATACATTTCCTCTCATTCGAACGCTGACAACTCAAGTATTGAAGGGGTTAAGTTGGGGTTACACCCGGTCCCTTTCCTCACTTTGTTCTTCCTTTTCAGGTTCACAATTTGAGATCATTTGGAAGATCGTTATCTCATTCTATTGCAAGAATTTTTTCGTGCAATTTGGCGTCATTTGTGGGTAGCATCGAATCAGATTTTCCCGTAGCGATACATATATATGGTGAATACTCAATCTCGGAGTAAGATAGGGGATAGCCTACCTGTGAGAAATGTGGTAACTGACCATGTCCTTGCAACGACAGAATCTCGTTCCTTAGACTAGTCAAATGGAGTTTGGAGCAGTTCACAACAGACACTGTCAGTGGACCAGAGCCTAGGAGGGCAAAGTGTCACCCCCCGAATTTACACAAACCTCGAGAGTGAGTGAAAATGAAGAATAAAAGTAAATGAAAGGTCATTAAGTTGGATAAATTGATTTTTCATTCATTTTTCACGTTTTTTCAAAATTAAAATTGAAGACTTGCTAATTTAACTCAATCAAAATGGTCTCCTAACGTTGCTCAAGCATCTCTCCCAATTAATATTTAAAATAGTTTAAATCATGTTCAAAAATGGCTTCCAAAATACCCCCCCCGATGTCTCTAAATAAGCCCTTGAATAATAGTTCAAATGGGCCATAAATGTCCTAAGACATGGGCCAAGTGTAGGTCAAATATCCTACTTAAAATGGTCTTAGTAAGTGGCCAAACATGGCCTTGAAATATGACTAAAAAGTGTCACAAGAAAATGTCCAACATGACTTGATGTAATGACCTAAAATAGCCTAAAATGGACTCAAAAAATTATGATAAGACATGTAATTAAATGGCCTTGAAAGACAGGTCATGAAATGTCATGACATGGCCAAAGTAGTGTTGCGCAGCAAGGCAGGGCAGCAGCAGGCTTGGGCAAGGCAGGCGGCAGGTTGGGTGTGTAGGCAGGTGTACAGGCAGGTAGGCAGCGCGCGGCTCGCATGCGCGTGGGTGGCTGGTTGCAGCCTGGGCTGGTTTCTGCATTGTTTTACTATATCGACTAAGAGCTAATTTTTCGATTTCCTGCAGAATCGTTGTTCATGGCTGCAAGCAAATTTCCCTGTTTTCCTATTTTTTTTTCCTAAAATTTTTCAAGCCACTTTTCTTCTATTTTTAGTTTATTTCTTTAAGGTTTCTAAACCCCCTCTTTTTGACATCATTCCCACCTATTTAAAAGGTGTTTTACACACTTAACAATTTTTTTTAATTTTTCATAAAATTTTAACATAAACTTCTTTGTTTTCCAAGCATTTTTCCACCTAATATTGACAATACTTCATATGTATAAGTATATCACAACCCACCCTCATTCGGTGGCCACAATCTATGTAAATTAAACATACATTCCATGTTTTCAGCATACACATCTAGTTATCTCAATATACACATATGTTACTCATTAAATAAAGATATCTTACATATCAATTGAGTTTACACTCTTACACTTTAAAATGACCCAAGACCTATAATTCACTACTTTTTCAAACTAAAATACAAGTTATTTGGGCTTATGCCCATATATACAATATATGCATCAAGGGTTAAATGTCCAATCAAGTCCATTTCTTCTCTTTCCTTTAAAACTTCTTTAAGTCTCAAGTATCGAGAGTCTCATCTGTAATATGATATCCCGCGAGGAACAAATTTAAGGCGCGATATGTGCAAGTGTACATTTTAAAAGTTATAATCCCGTAATCCCTCAATGCTATCCAGTGTCAATATACATGACACACACATGCAATTTTATGCCACCTATGTCTCGCATCATGGTCCGCCCCCGTCAGCCCGCAAGTACTGTCATTGGCCAAATTTTGAGTTTTTTACCACAGAATTTACACTCTCATAATGCATGCAACGAAGTGCTCAATCCACGCTATGTTTCCAAAGATTCATGTATGCCAAGATGCTTTAATTTTTCTCAATGTAAATTCTATAGAACATTTCATCAACACATGACGTATAACATAAAATATGTCTCATTCATAAAGTAAAACATAACTTCAAATTCACAACACTTTGTCTACATAAACATAAACTATAATATAATAATTCAACACATATGCAAGGTACACTTTTATCATAGTAGCAAATTGTCAAGAAATATAAAGAACACAAAAGTACCTAAAGTACTAACTCTAAGTTTTCAAAGCAATTACCACCTAAGTGATTTTTTAACATCTAGTAAACATTTAAATCATTCAATCAACACATAGAAAGATAAGAAAACTTAAATTTATTCCTAACTTAGCAAAATATCATATCTAAAATGATTTTTCTTAAACCGAGAGAGTTGTGTTCGTTGTGCAGCTAAACCAATCGGTGAGAATATAGTCTTTGTTGAGAGGAACAACTTCCTAGAAGGAAGTCTTGCAAGAATCTTGGCCTAGCAGTGCGTTTTGATGACTAGAAGCTTGGAAAATCTAGGATTTTTCTTCACTTTCTCTCTATGGACCTATTCTTCTTTTTCTCTAGACCAAAGAATGATATTTTTACACTAAGGGGGTTGTATTTATAGTGGAGGGGCAAATGTGTAAAATGACACTTTTGCCCTTAATGAATCCGGGACCCTGTTACACTACAACCTGTTTCAAAATGCTTCAATTCGACATTTTGCTTTAACCAAAGTTTTTAAAATTATTTTAAATACAAATTTTCAAAAAAATAAATTTTGCCTGTGACCGGGTTTGGCCGATTCCACTCGGGATGCCCTTTTTGGTCCAATTTTTGAAACTATTTTTGTCTAGGTTCAAATTCACATAGTAAGTGTATTTTAACATTATAAGCATGTTTTTCTTCTGTGACATACTCAAATTATGTTTTTAAACATGATTGATGCTTAAATGATGTATATGTAATGTCCTATTGGCAAATGGTGCATGAATAGTACTCTATCGGTAAAACGAAAAAATTTATCCTCATTTTTCAGATCTCTATATAAAGGGTCTTGGCTCGAGAAATAATTGAGTTGATGGGGCAACATTTGAAGCAGATCGAACGAGATAATGTTAATGTCCTAAACTGACTCGGTGACTTCGACCGATTATAGGAGACCAGTTGGTGAAGCAAGAGATGTGAGAACAAGAGTGTCCGTCCTAGTTACTCCTATAATCCCCCGTTAGAAATCTTGAGGGGGAACTTGCACCATCATTTGGGCAAGAAGCAGTGCTCTCATTGTCACACCCATGAGAGAAAGGCGAAGCGCAATCAAGCGCTATCCTATGAAGACCTCTGCCATAGACTCTGAGGTTGTAGAAGCGGCAGAGTCGCCCATAGGCTCTATCGCTTGGGAACCCAAGAATAAAGGCCTCCGAGAGGATCTCCAATATTGCATTGATGCCAAATGCCAGAAGGCCCTTGAAGGGAGATAAATGATGACACGGAGAATGAATAGATCATGTCGTCGTTTGTCTAAGCCACTAGGGAGGTGGTGATGTCAAAGAAGTTTACCATCCCTCGTTTCAAGGTTTATGATGGGAGGACGGACCCTCAAAAGCCATATTTGGCAGTATAAGCAACTCATGTCCATATACGATACCAACCACAAGCTACTATGCTGAGTGTTATTGATGATCCTTGAGGACACTACTATGAAATGGTATGAGAACTTGGCCATGGAAAGTATCGGGTCGTGGAGGCAGATGACTGAGGAGTACACCACTCAGTTTATCATTAACAACAAAAGGCCAAAGAACATCGGTGCAGTGTTCACACTTAGAGATCTGAAAAATGAGGATAAATTCTTCGTTTTGTCGGTAGGACATTATTCATGCGCTATTTGCTGGTAGGACACTACATATGCATCATTTAGGCATAAGTCATGTTTAGGAGCATAATTTGAGTATATCATAGAAGAGAAACATGCTTAGAATGTTAAAATACACCTATTGTGTGAATTTGAGCCTAAATTGAAACAATTTCAAAAATTGGATCAAAAGGGCATTCTGCGTAGCCGGGTGGAACCGGCCAAATCCGGCCACAGGCGTAAATTTATTTTTTTGAAAATTGTTATTTAAAATAATTTTAAGAAATTTGGTTAAAACAAAATGTCGAATTGAGGAGTTTTGGAATGGGTTGTAGTGTAACGGTGTCCCGAATTCATCAAGGACAAAAGATTCATTTTACATCTTTGCCCCTCCACTATAAATACAGCCTCTTAGTATAAAAATATCATTTTTGGTTTGGGAAAGAGCAAAACACGTTCATGGAGAGAAAATAAAGAAAAATACTAGGTTTTTCAAGCTTCAAGTCACCAAAACACACTCATAGGCCAAGATTCATGCAAGACTTCTTCCTAAAAAGTTATTCTTCTTAACAAGGACTATATTCTCACCGATCGATTCGACTGTACAGCGAACATAACTCCCTCGGTTTGAGAAAAATTATTTTAAGTATGGTATTTTGTTAAGTTAAGAATATATATTAGTTTTCTTGAATTTTTATGTGTTGATTGAATGATTTAAATGTTTACTTGATGTTAAAAAATCACTTAGGTGGTAGTTCTTTGAAAGTTTAGAGTTAGTAGTTTAGGTATTTTTTTGTTCTTTGAGTTCTTGACAATTTGTTATTATGATAAAAGTGGACCTTGCATATGTGTTGAATTATTATATTTTGGTTTATGTTCATTTAGAGAAACTCGTGTGGTCTGAGAGTTATGATTTATTCCATGAGTTGGTAGTTTGTGTATTTATATTTTCTTTGAGAAATTGTGACAGTAATGAACATGAGACTTGATCATATGTTTAATTCATCAAATTGTGTCTCACATTCATGTAGATAAAGTATTGTGAATTTGAAGTTATACTTTACTTTGTGAATGAGACATATTTTAAGTTATACACCATGTGTTGATGCAATGTTCTATAGAATTTAAATTGAGAAAAATTAAGGCATCTTGGCATACATAAATCCTTGGAAATATGGTATGGGTTGAGTACTTGGTGCTATGCATTATGAGAGTGTAGATCCTGTGGTGAAAACTCCAAAATCTAGTCAATCACTTTCATGGTCACCGTCGGAATCATCACTATCCCTGTGAAGTTCATGGTGATAGATTTTAACTCACCTTAGAACGTCATTATGGCAAGGACTTAGATGCACGCCCTAAAGGTGGTGCATTCCTTGTACCACCAGAAAATCAAGTTCCCAACCTCAAGAGGGATTATGGATATCCGCAGTGATCAAGTCTTGTTCAAAAGCTATTTCTATGCCACAGTAAAGACTGGGGTTAACGCCAAGGCCAAAGAGCATGATCTCGGAGGCAATTGTGGCCAAATAACAATCACAACTCGACCGACTAGGGGTTGACGAGCCCATGGTTGACCCAGCCGACCGATCAATGGAGGGCATAGTTAAGGTGCTCGTCCATCCCAACGACGAAGAAAGGTTTTTCTTAATGGGGGCATTGCTGGGAGAAGCCAAGAGGTCAGATATGAAAAATTTCCTTTAGCAGAATTTAAATGTGTTTGCCTAGACATTTGCCAAGATGATGGGCACCTTGAGGTGATCTGCCACCGACTTGGCGGTCGGCGCCTCATCACGTACAGGCAGTCGACGAAGAGGTGGACCTATTGTTTGGGGTAGGGTCAATCAGGGAGATCCAATTTCTCGAGTAGTTGTCCAACATTGTTTGTGCCAAGAAAAAAAGTGGGAAGTGGCAGGTTTGTGTGGACTTCACGGAAAGGCATTCCCCAAGGATAATTACCCACTCCCAAAAGTTGACCAGTTGGTTGATGCGACTGCAAGACATGAACGTATGACCTTCAGAGAGAGTAGGTTATCCCCTTGCACGAAGCCGATAAACGACATTTATTACCCCCAAGGAATCTATATTACAAGGTAATGCCATTCGGCTTGAAGAACGCGAACACCACATATCAACGCTTGATGAACAAGATATTCATAGATCAACTCAGCATCACCATGGAAGTTTACATCGACGACATGTTGGTAAAGAGCGTAGATAAAGCTGACCACCTAAGGAACCTCGGGGTAACCTTCGGCGTACTCTAGAGATACAGCTTGAAATTGAATGTCTCCAATTATGCTTTCAGGGTGAGCTTGGGTAAATTCTTGGGATACCTAGTCGCTCATCTAGGCATCGGAGGGCCTCAAAGGATACACAAAAGTTCATTGGAATGCTAGTGGCCCTTAACCGTTTTATCTCTAAGTCGTCAGACAAATGGGTGAGGAAGGGCCCCTAGGACAAAGATTGTGATTGGGCCCTAGAGGGAATCAATGAGTATTTGAAATCCCCCCTTACTCTTTATGTCTCATCTCTTGGTGAAGTGTTGAACCTCTATCTCTCAGCCTCCGAATGCGCAGTTAGTGGAGCACTGATGAGAGAACTTATTGGCAGTCAAAAACAAATATATTATGTCAGCAAGACCCTACTTGAAACCTAGACAAGGTACTTACCAATGGAGAAGCTCGTACTCATATTGGTCACATTAAAGAGAAAGCTTAGACATTACTTTCAAGCCTATCCCATCGAAGTATTGATAGATCAGCCCTTGAGGCCCATTCTCCACGAAGCTGACATATCAGGAAAGGTCACTAAGCTGATACCTCCATTAAGGGACAAGGCTTGGCTGACTTTATTGTTGAGTTCTCCATGTCCAAGTCCCCTACAGAGGAGATCCATGGCAATCCCGACTTAAGTACCGCATGGAGCTTTCACGTTGACCGGTCCTCGAACTCAAGAGGGATAGGAGTAGTTATAGTCTTGACCAATTCTGGAGGAATCATAATGGAGCGAGTCATCTGATTCAAATTTCAAGCATCCAACAATGATACTGAGTAGGAGACATTGCTAGCAGGGCTTAACATGGCTTTATCTATTAAGATCAAGCACCTCTGTGTTTTCTATGATTCCCAATTGGTTGTCTACCATGTCAATGGGGACTTTGAAGTCCGAGATGACACAATGAAAGCCTATTACCTAAGGGTGAAGTCAAGGATGAAGAAGTTTGAGGAGGTGAAGGTGTCCCAAATTTCTAGGGATCACAATAGCCACGCTGACACATTAGCATGTTTGGCCTCAATCTTGGTGTCTAAGATCACACAAAGGATTACTATGGAATACATGGGGGGTCTGAGCATAAGGGACACATATGTTAAGGAGGTATTTCTTATGGACACTCAAGACACACCTCGGACCAAGATGGATCCCATTATCGAGTATTTGATGACCAAGATACTCCCCGAGGATGCTAAAGAAGCCAAACAGATCAAGTTGAAGGCTGTTAGGTTCTGGATATCCCCCGATCATAAGTTGTATTGAAAATCTTCCTCAGGACCCTACTTGGTGTGTGTCCTCGAGGACAAGGTTGAGTCGTTACTATACGAGATCAACGAGGGGATCTGTGACAGTTACACGAGGGAAGGTCTTTAGTGCACCAGGCCATATCTAAGGGGTATTGGTGGTCATATATGTAGAAAGATGCCAAGGGATATGTTAAGAGATGTGATAACTTCCAGAAGTTTGCCTCCATATCCGTCAGCCAACAGGTGACCTTAACTTTTTAATAAGTTCATGGTCATTCTCCCAATGAGGCATAGACATAGTGGGTTCGCTGTCGAGAGCCCCATTAAACAAGAAGTTTCTCATGGTTTCCACGGATTACTTCATAAAGTGGGTCAAGGTCGAGCCCATGAGCTACATTCGAGATGTGGAAACAAAGAAATTTGTGTGGTAGAACATTATTACTTGTTTTGGGATCCTACGGGCCATCATGTCGGACAACGACATCCAGTTCAATAGTGGACTCTTCAAGGAATTTTGCTCGGATTTAGAATCCATAAATACTAATCCGCCAAGGTGTACCTGTAATGTAATGGACAGACAGAGGTCTCTAACAAAACAATCTCGGCCGGGATAAAAAAAGAGGCTAAAAAAAGCAAAGGGCTGATGGATCAATGAGCTACTCAACATCTTATGGGCATACAAAACCATTCCGAGAACATCCATGGGAGGGACCCCTTATGCCATGGCGTATGTGGAGGAAACGATCATACCCTTGGAAGTAGGGCTCTTTACCATACGGAGTCAAGCCTTGATTTTGGAAATAACAATCCGACTCTAGCTAGCGATCTCGATTTGGCTAAAGAAAGAAGGGAGTTGGCAGCTGTATAGCTGGTGAAGTATAAACCTGAATTATCTAGTTAGTATCAAAAGATATTCCGAACAAGGAGCTTTCAAGTGCGGGACCTAGTGTTACAAAAGGTAGTAGGAGGCACTCAGGAACCAACCGATGGAAAGCTTGGCCCGAACTAGTAAGGTCCATAGAAGGTTACCAAAGTAGGGGGCACTAGGTCATATGGGCTTGTGGATATGAAGGAAAATGATGTACCCCAC